TAATTTCGTATCTAAATATAATATAATTATAATAAAATCATAATAATATATAAACTGATTAAGTTAAATTATTTACAGAGCGCAAATAGCAATTTGTTATATAAACGTTTTGTATTGGAAAATAAAACAGTACAAAAATATCAAAATTACGGAAATTTGCATTATAATATATATTTTTTAATATCATTTAAATGAACTGACTGAATGAACTATAATACGTTGTATGGATTGTTTTCAATTTTTTGTATGCTTTCTCAGCCACCAGCAATGTTGTCAAATCTCATCTTTTTTTATTCGTATAATAACTTTTCATATCCCACTGAAACAAAACAGTGAAGACGCACAAACATACCGCACCGTCACTTAACAGTAAAGCAAATAACTTTATAAGTTTAAATGTTAAAAATTGAATGTTCCATGTTCTCGCAATTTTCGTACAAAATTCATAAATTCAGTAGTCAATGATCTGTCTTCAAATCCTAAAAGATTTTGGTTTCATATTAATTCAAGACCAACATGGATTTATGAGTGGTCGTTCAAACTACCTCAAATCTAGTTGAGAAAACCCAATTTATTGCTGAAGATTTTGATGGAGGAAGTCAGGATGATGTTGTGTATACCTTGATCATAATTATCGACATTAAAATTGGGGTCATATGGTATATCCCCTGCTCTGTTAAATCTTATTTTAGTAATAGGTACCAATTTGTGCAGTATCGTGGCTTTCAATCATGTAAATTCCATCAATATTCAGGAGTTCCGCAAAGGTCAATCTTGGGGGCCACTGTTGTTTGTTATTTTTATTAATGCCTAACTGAATGCCTCGATGTCAACTATTTACTTTATGTGGACGACCTGAAGTTGTTCTTGGAAATTAAATCTTCTACTGATTGTACTAGATTATTACAAGATAATCTTGACAGATTACACAGTTGGTGTTCATGTAATAATCTACCTCTGAATGTAAGCAAATTTAAAACTATGTCTTACAGTCGACGCAAAACTAATCTAGATTTGGATTATAAAATTGGTTAATTTTTTTTAAGTAGTAGTAGTAGTAATAATATATATATAATTTTTTACAATATACTAAGTTAAAAGTGTTTAAGTTTATTACCGATGTTGCAAAATTGCAATAATAATGAAAAAATAGGCACAATATCAAGTTTTTTGGATAATTTTGTTAAATTATTGCTCCTGGGGCATTCTAATTTTGGTAAACAAATCTTTGGAGTATAATAAAACAATACACAAATTTCATTGAAATCGGTTCGATAGTTTTCGCAAAATAATTTTTTGAAAAAAATTTTGAAAAAAAAATTTCGAATTTTCAAAATGTTGCACAGCCTCAAATAAAGCATCTAGACACTTGAAAATTTTTTCATATAGAAAAGACCGCTCAACCTTTCAAATGGTTTTTGAAAAATTGAAATCGGTTGATTAGGACGGCCACAGTGAATTTTTAGATTTAACACTCTTTTTTTTACTTTTAAACAATTAGATTACATTTATCAATTTGCAATTTAGTTTTTTTCAAAAATTATAATTTTAAACTACTCGGTCAAAGTTTATCGGCATTTACCGTTAATTTACTCAATGTTTAATCAAAAACTGCTTACGCTAAAATATTTTAAACTGCAGATCTGGAAACTAGACACTTGAAGCTTCAAGTTCCATTCTCTCTACGACCTCAACAATTATTGCTTTCTTGTTTTAATTTTAATAGTCTCTGTTGTAGGCGAATTATGTTTTCAATTATATTCCTTTTTAAAATTATAAATAACACTTTAAATGCAGACTCGTTAGTCTCAAGGATTTTATATCATGTTCCTAGACATACTTCTACGTTGTTAATACGAGGTACTACGGCGTCCAGGAATCACCAATACGCAATTCAGTTGGTATCTGGATTCGACCGTGTCGGAGTGTTTTTTGCTGCTATTTTTTTGCATCGAAAATGGCTGTGGGCATTTTAAGCATGTGGTGTAGCTTGTTTTGTACTTGCGTTTAAAAATTACTGAATTTTGCTTTTTGGTAAGTACCTAAATTATTTTTAATGCGTATGATTATTTGGACGACGTGAATCTTTGGGTACTTTAATTACATATTTTTCAAATACGTAATTTGATTAAAAGTTAAGTTCCTGTTTTAAGAGATTCATAATTACTAAAATTCGAGCTAAAATTTAAGCACAACACTATCTTCGTACTATAAAATCCACACATTTTATTTTATTTATTTAAAAACTGGAAAACAATTGTCTTGAAATTAACTAAATGATTCACAATAATAGTTGTTTACATTTTTTCCGTAGGACAAGTCTGCCGCGTGCACACGTGGTGTGCATCAGCAGGTTAAGCGGTGTTGCCACGTCGTGACGAAACTCCCCAATATTAGTACTCAGTGTATTTTGAAAAATGTTAATATTACGCCCCTGTAATATATAACTTTTTTGTTCATTTATAATTACTCTAACTCATGCTGAAGTAATGGCAGTCAAACTTCTTACACCCTGTAGAACCACCGAATATATTATTGAAAATCGGGCGGAAGATTGGATTGCACTGCTTCCAGTATTCATAGACATAGAAAAATGTTCGGGGTGTTCGTCGGCTAGTCATAGGCGTGTTCGTGGTATCCCAGTAAATAAACAGGAAGGTATAAATAAAAATAAATAAATTTGCGTATTTTATCAGCGAAAGGTCTTATTTTACCGCTTGGCGCGTTCGACATTATTAGAATATTAAAACGCGTATACATGAAGCATACGCGAAACCAACAACTGCCGTTATTACAGGTTTAGTATGGTGCGCTGTAGCGAAAGTCTGACGCGACGGCTATGATCATCCGACGGAGTCCCGAACTCTAATAATTAGTTATTTCTATTCAGAAAAAACAAATTATATAGAAATAACACTTAATTGTAGTTGAATTGAAAGAGAGAAGGAATAAAGACCACAAACAACCAATTACAGAACGATTTTTGATGGGATATCTGCTCGGTTTATTTCAGTAGGTTAATCACGGGAAATGTCGCTAATTATTCCGGCATTATACGTGTTAACAAGGAAGCGCCCCCAAATATTTACTGTAGGTCTGAAAATGCGCTATCGACATAATCGGATTATTAATATTTATGTCTCTCTAGGTTAGCTAAGACAAACATTATGATTAATTAATAAACTAATCTTTCCCCTAATGTAGAATTGGGCGGTACCCCACTTCTACCCACGTATTTTTGCTTACCCTAACGAGCTCCCCCTGCGGATCTTACACGGCTAATGCCGCACATAAGGCTCGCTTTAAATACTAAATCCATTCATGCATCACCCACATTTGCTATACACAAACACAGACACCTTCAGATGGGAGTTTTCCTGCTATACAGGGCGTTGCAAAATTATATTGCAACAGATAAGGGTGTTTACAAAAGAGTTACAGCATTTTAAATGGCTATAATTTATATTTCAATCAAAACAGCCTAATAAATAAAAATGTTGGTTGCTATAACAATAATGTTTATTTGTATCATTTTGTTTATTCATTTGACACTTAGCGTTAAAGCGCTAAATAAAATATGCGTTTAGTTATAGTCTTTCCGAAGTCAGTTGAACATGTATAAAAACGTCTTGCAATAGAATTTAATGAGTTTCATAAAAATTTATAATAATTTGTATATAATGTGTAGAAAATTTCTATTATATGTTCATTTGGCCAACAACATATTTTAAATATTCATGTCCTGTGGGTACACATGTCTGCAAGTGACCCATTTTTAAGTATTACATCAATAGCGCCAGCGAGACGCACCAGGGTTCCAGGAAAGGTCCATGGTAGATTGGCGCTAGCGACCAGATACTTACTCGTATACCTAAGAACGAGTCCACACCAAGAAGACTCTCCAACGAGCGCTTGCCCCGACACCATATATTTTCCTCTACACCTAGTTTTCAATAAAAATACTTTTATTTACCGTTGAGAGAGTTTTATTTGCTGCACACCGAAAGCAACCCTCAGTCCTCAAATAATTTTATTATATGAATGGTAAATTCCGTTTTGTTCCGTTTCAAAAGGTCTCCAAAATGCCATGTTGTAATAATTTGTGAACAAAGTTCATATAAACGTAAGTCGAAATATGCTTCATTTCCGAGTGTTTAAATTTTTTTTATTAATTATGTTTATTAAAGAATTTTAAAGATATTGACTCGAAATTTGATGGTTGTATTTTATTTAGAAATATTGACAGCAACCTACTAGATCAATAGAAATTAAAAATACACAACTTGCAGTAAAATATGTTATAATTTTTTCCTCAAGAAACAGTGCATCCTACGAAAAAATGAAGAGTCCAATTTCATTCAGAATTGATTGATTGGCGGATTTATAAAAAAATATCAAAACGGGAAAAAATTTTTTTTATTAAATTCTCGCACGAACGCCACTGGTGCAAGTAGAAATATTCGTATCGCCCCAAAAATGCATATTTATCCCTCCAAAGCGTGTTTCAAATTTCGAGTCAATATCTCTAAAACTCTGAAATAATTACCTAACAAAAATAAATTAAAAATTACAATTTAAACACTCTGTATTTCGGAAACGAAGCATACCTACTTCGAATTACGTTCATATGAACTTTTTTTCACAAAATAACTTCGGCAACCACCCCCTAAAATATTTCGCACTTATTTTAAACACCCTGTATACAAAGTTAAATAAATACTGTAAATAACAATTATTAAATTTCAATGTCAATTCAAATAAAACGTGCAAATATTTTCATAATATAAACATACATGTATTTCCATGTCAAATAAATTAAATTAGGTCAAGTATGAGGATTTCCAGGAAACACTTACGCCGTAAAAAAGAACTGCTCGGTAAAAAACCTGCTTGTGCGCACGCGCCCATATTTCTTGCATTGTTATTGTTGTTGTCAGCAGGTCGAGCATGTGTCGGTACTATTCGTGAGTGATTTTTCGTAATTGTGACGGTTTATTTAATAGTTTTTCGTACATTTCGTATATCATCGAGTGCCTCTTACAATAACTGACGGAGTGAAACGTGGTTTGTGATTTATTTACTTATTTATGTGTATTAAATGTTTCAAAAGTGGGTGGTGGTAAGCAACAAGTGCTTCAGACATCAAAGCCGTGCGAATTGGTCATTCTGGCATAATAATCAGGTTAGTTTTTCACATACAAACACATATTAACTGTTTACAACGTCGTTTATATATATTTTTATAAAATTATTTGCCTTTCGTACACACTTTAATAGAGTGTAATACTAGAAAGCAACATTAGGTTTGTTTCTGCAGTAGACAATATGAATTTAACGTACACGCCCAGTCAGTCTCAAACTCTGATAGTTCTTGCAGAATTTTAAACCGATTTCAAAGGTTTGCTGACTATCAAGCTATTTAAAATAATTCAAATATCTGTTATGGTAACCACTTTACATAAATGAAACAAAATACCAATTAATCTATCCACTATTTTTTGTAATTTGAATAAACTTCTTTTCTTTCATTTTGAACACCATGAATTAATTTGTAAAACGAAACGTTTTATTACACATGTTTATAGGCAGTTTTTTTAAACTTGTGTGTAGACTAGAACATAACAGTAAGTATTATTGATGACTTTCGATAAGATCAGTTTATTACTATTTTTGTCTAAATAGTAATTACGAGTACACACAGATAAAAAAATTCAAAGACAAACGACTGGAATACACTTCTAATCAAGAACCATCTAATTTGTTTTTGGTTTGAATGAAATATTTACTAACTGAGAGCTACAAACACTATATAACTTTCGTGAAACAGATATAAAGTCTCTTTGATGTCCGTAGACACAAATTGTGACAAATTAGTTTTGAAATGCTTAAAATTCTTTCAGTGACTTACAAATTGGTAGTTTACTCATTTGAACGTAAGGCGAGTGAAAATATCTTATAAATGCTGCTGTATGATGTGCAAATGGAATGTGTTCATCATTTACAATAAAATTTTCTAACTAAACAACAGAAGGATCTTTTTTATATAAATTTTCAAGGTTATGTTCTTATTTGAACTCATTCAGGGATTAGTCCAGGAGAATTATTGACATGGCTGTTGTTTGACGTAGTTTAAATATTAGTAAAAAAATAATATATAGGGTGGCCCTAAAAAACGATTATTTTTTTTCGTGTTTTGTGAAAATATGTTAGTTTATCATGTTTTAAGAGCCCCCTCAAAAAATCAGCTCAAAAAAAATTTATTTTATTAGAGGTCGCTCAAGATTTTTAAAAATTTCAAAAATCGTCAAAAATTGAATTTTTTTTAAAATTTTTTTCTCGTTATTTTGTCATTTTCTAGGTTAAAAAAAATCTCTATTCTGAAAATTTCAAATCTATATTTTAATTTCTAAAGGTCACTCATGATTATTTTAACTTTAAAAGTAGTGTACCTAAAATGTTTTCGAGCGACCTCTAAAAATAAATATCAACGAACTAATAATTTTTTTACTGAATTTGATGAACAAAATAATAGAAATAAATCACGAGACACTTAAAAAATTTATTTTTTCAAAAATACGCATTCTAAACCGGTCTAACTTCAGGATCGTATGAAAAACACTAAAACAAAACTAATTGTAAAGGGTCTACGATTAATTTTAATTCTGATGGAAATGGTACAGCGTTTACTGCTCATTTTTCCTTAAAAAATATGAGCAACCCATCTGTTTTTGACGATAACCTTCAATTTTGCTCTAATTAACTTTTATAAGTGCTCACTTTGAAGGTTTTTTTGAGTACTACAAAAAACTCCAGGAGCGTTATACACGTAAAATTAATCCTTTTTCCGTTATTTGACGTTGAATACATCGATTCGAGTATTCCCCCCAAAACAAGTCCCCTTCCAACTAACCATATTTAGCTATAGGACGTACAACACTTTTTAAAAAACGAGGCAAAATTTACTACCGCACTGTGAGTATCAAATATTTATAATTTTTTAAAATTTAAGTGTCGTGATTTATTTCTATTCATCAAATTCAATAAAAAAAATTATTAGTTCGTTGATATTTATTTTTTAGAGGTCGCTCGAATACTTAGGTACACTACTTTGAAAATTAAAATAATTATGAGTGACCTTTAGAAATTAAAAAATCGATTTGAAATTTTCAGAATCGAGATTTTTTTCAACCTAGATTTTGGAAATTTTTAAAAATCTTGAACGACCCCTAAAAAAATTTTTTTTGAGCTGATTTTTTGAGGGGGCTCTTAAAACATGATAAACTAACTCACGAGAGACACGAAAAAAAATCGTTTTTTTTTGTGCCACCCTAATACGTACAATGAAAATATAAGGTAGCGCCAAGAAAAAAAGTTGTGCTATTTGCAGGAAAAATTAAAAACTGCAAAAATACTCAAAAATGATGTGTTTTTTACTATTACTGATGAAATTGTTTGTTATTAAATTTGCTACAATATAAAATTGTTTTGATACCTGCGCATATCATATTTTTGTTGCTAGATAGCCAAATAGCGTTCAACTGACAGCTAAGAAATTGTACAATTCTACTATAAATATAGATGTAAGTACTTTAAAGGATTACAAAACGAAATCCCAAAACCCGATCCAAATCGGTCTGATAGTTTTGGTATGAGACAATTTCTTACTAAATTTCAGCGCGAAATGTCGTTATTTTTTTGCGTCAGTGCTGGGGTTAAAGTTAAGCATTTTAATTAGCGCTGCTTTTTTTACACATACTTGTACCCCTTAACTATCATATAGAATCGTTATAACATCAATTTTCTTTTTTTTTTTAATAATTTTTGGAGCGACTTTAAAAGTTCGAAAAATTTTGACTTTTCGTGAAGCGGTTTTGCGGGTTGGAAAATATACCAAAGTACTAAAAAACAGTTCTCGGAAAGACGCTTTACTTGGAAAAATAGTAATAAACTGATCTTATCGAAAGTAATCAATAATATTTACTTTTATGTTCTATATTTTTCATTGTATATATTATTTTCGACCGATGTTTACTAATATCTAATCTACGGCAAGCAACAGCCATAATTCGAAGGTTTTGATTCTCTTGGAAATACTTTTTCGCAGTAGACACGAAGTAATTGAAATTTTTAATTTGCTCCTAGTTCCCCTATGTGTTTGCTAACGTGAAATTCTTTAAAATTATTGACATACAACATATTGGCTTATTGTTTACGTTATTTATTATTTAATATGTTTTTAATTAAAAACCATTATATGCAGTAATTTGTATTATGACGTGGATTCTTTGTAAAAATTTCTATTTGACATGGTAGCATTAATTAATCGATGCCGTTATAATGAGTTGATGTTTTTTGTCAATATGAGTATGTTGAGGTACTACAAAGAGCTTGTATGAAAAAGTGAAAAATTGTTTTTATTGTTCATGTTTGCTACACTCCAATATGAAGAGTTTAGTATTAATATAATGGAAGGAATTTGTTGCACCAATAATAACCCGTTTGGCGTCATTAGTATTTTATTTTTGCGGTAAATATCAAAGAGAAGTTACTTGGACAAACTCTGCCTCCTCAACGAAATATTTTAGAAAAAAATGCCTGTAAGTCTTAGTTTGTCGCTCATTACAGTCGTCGATAACCAGTTATTAAAAAGATCGAACTCCATTATCTTGCCACATTTTTATCAAAACATTTGCATCTCTCTTTCGTATCTCGAAAAGCAACGAAAAAAATAGTAAATTGTTGCTTAACCACCGAAATCGAAATATTTTCCAAGTTTTTTTTGTTAGATCTAAAGGAGTTATAGGAAACATTTATTTACATTTTACATTTTATGAAAAAATATGTTATTGTTAAAAATATACCTGTACCAGAACTTAAAATGTGGCCAAATTTAATAATACATTGTATTATAGTTCGATACCGCCTTTATTAAATGTTTTTATAGATATTTGTGATGTCTCTAAATCCAATACGAAAGGCTTAAATCGATAACAAATTACTGCACCTGTACAGATCTGCAATTATTGTATAATTTATAATAATGTCGCTATTATTGACATAGTTGTTTAAATTTCTTTATTTCAGTTCGTTTGGAATACTGTGGTATCAACAAAAAGTTGATCTTATACTTATACCATATTAAAAAAAATTGTAACGTATGTGTTTATCCAGAACATAATCTTTATTTAATATCCTTTTGAGAGAAAAATGTATAAATTGGAACTTTCCCTAATATCGTACCTCGCCCACCTTAGTAGAACACCCTGTACAGCTTTTTTATGGAAAGCTGTATGGCTCTTCTTTTCTTTACGCTTTATTACTTTTTTATTTACTTTTACATTACAACAGCCATTTTTAGTCGTGCTTTATTTATTATACATATAACACCCACTTGTACATTACGCTCGCTTTTCTTACTTTACGCCCACTTTCACGCCAACTGTTTTCTGAGGTTTATATTTTTCTCTACGCCGTCTTTTCTTACTTACCATCTGATTGTTTTTACTACACGCATGCTTACTTTTACTAAGTGCTATTTTTTTACTTTACGCCCGCTTCTTTACTTTCCGCCCGCTTTCTTTAATTTCTGTTCGCTTGGTTATTCTTCACGTCCTTTTTTTTCTTTGTGCTTGCTTTTTTCTTTCATTGTTCCTAATTTTCTTTGCTTCTGGACAATTTTTTTACTTTACGTCCGTTTTTCTTAGCGCGATGGGACTCGTTCACTCATATTGGTTAAGGCTCAAGAAGCATGAGCCAGCCATGCGTGTTTCAGGGTTTTAATGGCCATAAGTATCTTTCTTACCGGGTTGTGGGTATCGGGGTTATGGGGTTTTGAGTTTACGGGGTTAAAGGGTTATGGGGTTATAGGATTAAGGGGTTATTGGGTTATATATAGGGTTAAGGGAGTTGAATGATCCATGGATATAGGATTTATTGGGTTTTTGGGCCTATTTTTTGAGGTTATGAAAAATACTGTCGTGATAAGGTTAAATGGACCCCGGATTCGGATCATAATACGTAGATAATAATTCTTCAGTACACAATAATATCTGCATATTAAACAGTTAACTTTGCAGTTAACGTTTCGAAAGACTTTCTGTTTCCGTTATCAAAATTCATATATGTTGTGTCTAAATATTATACAGGGTGAGTCATATTTAGGTGTCAACGTATATCCTAAAC